CCCCAAATAGTTTGTTTTCACAACTTTAAAATTATGTGCATTTCTACTCTATATTAAATACTAAAGCAGCAATGTATCAGCTGCTGACTTAATTCACACTATTTTATCAACTTGAATTAATGATTTTATCGCTAACGTAACTACACTTATAATTTTTGCATTAGTCGGACAAATAACTTTTTCGCAAATTGTTTGTTCCAACGCCAGAAATGACTGCCACATTGATTGTGAATGTTCTCGTATTTACCGTGAATGAGTTTAGGTTGTCAAAGCAGAGAATGCTTTTACATGTTAACCCTTTAGTGAAACATAAATTGAACGTGCGACGTACTCTCTTTGTTTTTTGACCAGAGAATGTAAAATTCTTTTTAGAGAATGTAAAATTCTTTTTAGAGAATGTAAAATTCTTTTTATGTAAAAAGAGAATACGTCGCACGTTTAATTTATGTTTCACTAAAGGGTTAACTACAGAAAATTACCAATTTTTTTGCCTACATTTAGGCGCAAATGGAGAGAGTAATCTGATAAGAATTTGAATTTACAACTTGTACAACAAAAGGAACTTAAAACAATGTTTTATGAACATAAAATGTTGTAAACAATGTTTTATGTTCTCTGGTATATAAAGCTTACCAGGAAGTGGTAGAAACGTTCCAAAAGGAAACGTTGAAGACCCTATAAAATATTAATAAATGATCAGCCCGATGAGTAGAGTCGATTTACAGAAAGATGGCTATGTATATGCGAACTAGTCCCTCAACCTTTGATTTTTGCACGCCACCTTTTCTTCCAAGCTCCTCATTTATCGGTCCACTATACCATATAGTGGTCATATAAACTGAACGATCAAAATTCAGTTCTTATATAGACAACTTTTTTATTTGACGAGATATCTTAACGAAAAATTGTTTGACAACGGTACAATCTCCGAAAAAATTTGTTAGATCGGTCTACTAAAGCGTATAGGTGCTATACAAATTGAAAAACAAGATATAGGATATAGCTTCAGTGCAGAGGAAGTTAACGTTTTTCCTGTTTTCTTGATAAATGGTTCGAAAAAATTCTTGCGGCTCCACCGCTGATGTAGTTAAAAGTTTTATATGTTATTATTACACCTCAATTCCTTTACATTTAACTTCTTTAATAAATAGTTTATTATTTATCAAAGGAAATAACCCATTAATAGCTTCGATCAATGCTGTTAGGTTAACATATGTTTTGAGTACGGTATGTCTGATTTTAACTGAATCGAATCGTCATGGATCTTCGATCTTCGACACATACATATGTATGTATGTTTCATTCATACTCACCAACATTTTTTTTTGCAGTGGACATTGTGTTAGACATATCTGGGATGTTTTAGACTTTTTCATTTAAAATATATTTTTTATTTCAATATCTATCGGTAGGACAAATTATAACAATGCAATTTCTTTACAAATTTACCTAAAAATTTCAACTTGTTTTCGCAATTGAAATTCGTATTCAAAAATGTGTGTTGTACACACATTTATTCATGATTTTAACAATGAAATTTGAAGAAAGTTGTATTTGCAATTTTGTTGTTGTTGTTTAAATATCGACCCGTTTGCTCAGTGGCACCATTTTATTAAAAACTTTCGTGTCGCTAAATTCTTGAAATTCATTTTTATTAACATTCATACATATGTATGTACAGAGGCATATGCATGTATATATTTATTTCATAACATATGTATGGATTTTTGTGATTTGTATATATTCTCTAGCAGTTTCGTATTGAATTCACATCAAAAATATTCACTTTATGCATTTTTGTATTTCTGTAAATTGTAATATTTTTAATATAGTATTCCTGTTATTTTGCTATTTTTAACTGTTGCTTGATTGAATTTTTGTTGTTGTTTTCGTAATTGAAATTAGTTTGCAAACACCTGTTGCATCATTATATCGTAATTTTTGTTGTAATTGTCTAATATACCATTGCAGTAAAATTTTTTATTTCTTCTATTTTTTTATTTTTGTTTTGCTTCTAATTGATAACCCGGCATATTATCGCGAAACACATACAATTTATTTTTGTGAAAATATCTAGATCCCCCTGTAGTTTCTTAAAAATAATCAACTTGGAGTTGTGTTGAAAGTTTTGAATAAAACAAAATCTTTTTTTTTTCGAGTTTTAATATTCACGACTAAGCAAATTATCGCGCCAGCCTAGCAAACTATTTTTACAAATTACTTTGTCTTTAAATTGAAAATGCATATGTCCGCATATTATACATGTATGTATAGGCATACATACATACTTACATGCATATTTATGTACATATTGTTGTAAGTGTGCGTGTACCGTAATATGCCACAATGCTTTGTTTAAAATGTATTTTAGAGTTTTTAATTTGAATTTCAAATATTTATCACTATTCACTGATTCTTTTTTATTAATTATATTTTTTTTTTAGAAAAAACATTCAATGTACAAATTTTAATTATTAAGAATTTTACATTTAAGTTTTTGTAACTATGTGCAATTATATTTTTAGTATTGTTTCATAAAATTTAGCTCCGTAATTGTATTTCATTTACCAATAATTTATGTATGTGGTTATTTGTTTTTTTTTTTTATGGTTATACTAAGTTTTAGCAATACATTACCAAGTTTTTAAATTTGAATTCATGCTTATTAAGCGTTGAGTTATTCTTATAAAGTTTACTCATTGAGTAAATTGTTTTACTTAAAAGAAGTTACTTTGCCCTGTGATTAATGCTTATCGCGCATAACTTTTGTGTATATGTACTTATAATATATACATGAGATATATGTAAGTGCTAATACTTGCACTTCGCTCAGGTTTTTTCTTCTTTTAAATGTATCTTTATTCTTATATTCATTATACATACATTAACGAATGTATGTATGTAGCAATCTTAATTAAAATATCAGCCGCACCACGCTTTTTAAACACATTTTCTACCTAATAACTATTAATTCAAAAACCCACCAAACTATATTTTTACATTTCCTTCCAAAAAATTTAGTTATGTAAATTGAATCACATTTATCTAGCCTAAATATGTGCACATCAAATTTATAATAAAGAAATTCGTTATGAATGAAATAGAGTTCACAAGTGAACCGATATTTAAGTGTAAATAGCACTTTTTATATTGAAAATTGTAGCAGCATTCCAAAAATATTATACTTTCATTACTCGAATCTCAAAAATATGCAAATTTGGATCGTATCTACAAAATTAATTACTGCATAGCAAAACAACTGTCGGTTATCATTTTCAACAAAGAAAATTTCGGATTTCCAAGTGCTAAATATACGAAATTTGTAATAATTAAGCGTAAAATAAAGTTTAAAAAATCGTAATATGACTCATCTTTGTATATTAGGGTGTCGGTTATTTTCAAATTTATGTTTTTTTGTTTTTTGCAAACTATCTTGAAGTTATTGCTCTTACGAAAGAATACAATGTAAACAAGCTCTTTACTATTAATTAACAGCGAAAAAAAGTGATGTTCTAATGAAAACTTTAAAAGTTATACTACCTCAAAGTTATTTATCAAGTATGCTTAGTAATACATACTTGATGCAAGTGATTTATGTATACTGTGTTGCTCATACAGCATGGTGTACTGTACGGATATATTATATATTTGATGCATAACGTGAAAAGAAATGAATTTCGTTCTCTTAAAGATGTGTTTTTTTTTTTTTTTTGATTTAAACTGAAAGTAGAGAGCTTTTGTTTACGTTATATCTTCTTTAAGGCAAAAACTGTAACTTCAAGGGCATTTGCAAAAAAAATTGTGTATGGTAACATATGTATGTTGTAAAAAATAGAAAAGTTAAACTTTGTTAGCCATTAACTATAAAAAAAATAGAAAAGTTAAACATTGTTAGCCATTAACTATAAAATTAATTTGATGTCAGTACAATCCAATATTATGGCTCAAATGCAAGTGAGATTCTATTTTCAATTCCAACCATTTGTAATTACAAAATCTCTTAATTTGACCCCTCATTTTATCATTTGTAAATATATCCACATTCTCACACATACATATATATACAATCAAACAAACAAGCATATGCATATTTTATAGTTTTCGTTTAAATTTTCATTTAACTCCGTTCTAAACCTTTTTACATTGTTTTTTTTTTTATTTAAATTAATTAAATCAAAGATGATAATAACAAAGAGCTTCATAATTAAGTATAATGTACAATAAAAAATTAAAATAAAATTAAGCATAAGAAATCTTGTTGGCAACAAAATATGATATGTGCCACTTAAGAAACAAATTCAATTAAACTAAAACACATACACGTTGGAAAATCGGGCGACTAGCTGCCACGATTTTGCCAAGACTGCTGGAGATGGCTCGAATAAACTGTCCTGCATGTACATATTACTTCTAATCTTTACTCATTTGTCACAAGTACATATACATAACAGAGAAATTCATAATACAATGAATTAATTACAATTTAAAAATATTTTACAATTTTTTTTATTCAATAATCATTTTATTTTGTATACATTTCCTCACAATTTCTTTAAATGGGCTAGTTTTTCTTTAATGAATTTTATATTAAAGTATTTGCATTTCATTAACATTTTCTACAGAGCCACGGTATCAAAAGCATTCTTCGTTATTTCACTTACTTTCGTTAAACGTCAGCATATACAAATTTAGAAACAAATTTCATTTCCATTTAAAATTATAGTTAAAATTAAAATTTGTTACAAATTAATTTTGCATTCACGTACTGCATTATTATTTAAAAAAATATATATATATAGTAACCAACTTCTAGTCGGTCCGTCTACCGTCATCAGGTCATCGTCGCACTTTGACTGTGGAATACAATTTCCATTGCTTTATGTTATCATAACATAATGGAATTGCATTTACACTATTAAAATGCATCACTTATTTCACATATCTCATCTCATTTTAAATATTAAGATAAAAATTTTTACAAACAAATTTATTCTCTTCTCACTTTCCTGGCATATGTTTTGTTGTGTGTGTGTTTTTTTTTTTTACTTTTCTTCAATAAAATTTGTTGAGTCGAAAAATTAGTGCAGAGTACTAATTCGTCGCGGTATCAGGTTAACAATTTGTGGGAGGTCTGGCGGGCACAAAAACAACGTTAGCGGCGGTGGCTTTGACGGCAGCGGCGGCAACAGCATTCATATTTGCAACTACAATGCGGCGCACAATGGTTGTTGTACTTGTTTTTGTTGCTGCTGCTGCTGCTACAGATGGCACTGCTTTCCCTACATGTAACATTTGCAAACGATTGTTCACTTGAAAATCCTTTTGCTCAGCTGCAACACATTCAACCGTAGGATCGTCCTTACAACGGTTGACATTATCACCATCATCACCACGTTGTTGTAAAGTGTTTGCAGCAGTAAGTGAATCCGTTTCACTTAACGCATTGCTATTAAAAACTACACTTGCAGCAGCATTTTCACAATTTGTACTTGTAGCGGCGAAATCTACACTTGATACGGCAGCATTATCTACAGCTGCAGTATCTACGACATTGTCGCCATCGTTTTTATAGTTATCCGTAGCCACCACTTCCGTCCCAACCGCATCGTCGTCATCATCCTGCCTGTCTCAATCGATCTTTGTTTGACAATAGAGCTCCTTGAGTGATTTCAATTCTTCAATGAGCGCTTTGTTTTGATTCTCAAGCACCGCCACACGATTTTCCAGGCACTTTATATATTCTTTCTTTTTACGCCGACATTCACGTGCCGCCTCCCGATTTTTTTGCAATCGTATCTCGCGCTTCCGCGTCTGATCCTCAGCTATGCCACTATTATCTATGTAAAATAAACAAAATAACAAGTTTTAAAAACATGCCAAATTGCGTACAGCAATCGCACGCTAACTGAATTATTTGGTATCATTAGTTTTTCTATTCATATACGAAAATATAATTCAATAATAAAAAAATAATAATTGGAAACGTTCTTTACTAGTATTGTATGGAATCCTATGAGGTATGTAAAATGCTGCCGCATTGTCCGGCGGCATTTGTATTAGGGTGCCGCTTGTACCGCCCCCCGTGCTCGACAATGTGTGTAGTCCACCAGTCTCTGACATTTGCAAAGTCGCTCCACCTTTCATTCGTTATTACACAAAACCACAGTGCAGATAAATTGTCAATCATTGTCATCGCAATCGATCAACGTGTATCGACAAATTTTGCAGATTCAGATCACCATCGCCAGTACCATAATTCGTTGCATTTGAAGTTTGCATTCGTTTTTTTTATATTTTTTTTATTGTGGATTATTGCATGTATGTTTGCCATTCAAAGTGTTGGTGGGGGATCGTTGAAAATTATCAACATAATGTCGCATAATTATGATTGAAGAATTTCATTGTGACAGGGTTGGATTGCATCGAGAGTTGAGAAGAGGCGAAGTTGAAGTATTGGAGTAGGATTTGTTTTTGTTTTGGAAAAAGTCGAAAATAAGATCAATAACAATTCATTAGCTTACTCATTGACAATTAGAAATGGATTCAAACACTTTTAGTGCAAACCTCTATATACATACACACATTTATGAATATAATGTATTTATTGCACATTACATATGACGATTTTTATTTGATTCATTTGATTTAGGTACGTTTATGATGAATTATGGATTCTGCAGTATGTATCAAAGAAGCCTTAAATTTAATGTTAGTGCTTTCCTATGAGTTTATAAATATTATATAGGCTTGTTGGGCTGAGTTGAGTTGAGCTTTTCGTTATTTAGTGAATAGCAACATTCGATACGATGATGACAGTAATTTTATCTATGTGTGCTCAGCAAAAAGCGATAAATTTGAGATCACAAAGAATTTACAGAGCGCCGCAAAAACACACACAACATGACAGACAGAGACATAGACGGATAGAGAGAGAGAGAGATACATAAAGAGAGAGTGGTAGATAAGCAAAAGTCACAGAAAGAGGATAGTGAGACCGGAGACAACAGTGAAAACGTAGTGGTGTAAGATGCACATAAAACATATAGTATACCCAGAATAAATATAAAAAAAACACTCATGGGTTAATGTTTTACATTGTCCTGTGTCCCTTAGTTCAATAATATTGGAAGATAAATGGATCAACATTAACAGACTGTGAGCATATAAGTTATTAACTGTGTTTATCAAAAAAAAAAAGAGAGAAAGAGAGCGCAATAATACATACAATGATAACAACATGACAAGATTTTAATTTTTATTAATTATTTATTAATAATTAATTGTTTTTTTTTTAAATTATCATTGTTAGAACAAATAGTTAGTTTAAAAAATTAATGGAAAATTAGAATGCCTAACGTCTTATTTTTTAGAAAATAATAGCTTTGTTGTTAATAGTAATGGCCCTAACAGACGACAGCGCTAATTTGCATTAGCGGGCTTAATTTACATTTACTTGAGCATTTGACCCATGTTAATGCAAATTTGTAATGCACAAGAATTTCGTGCATTTAGCAGAATTTACCAAATTTGAGTAGGCAAAAATGGCCGATTTTTACTATTTTTTGACAGATGTCGCTTGAAGTCCGCCGCCTCCTTTGTGTTTACAGTATCAGAGATAAGCAGTTTTATATTGCTAATTAAATTATTAATTAGCGTTGCTTAATGCGTATTAATTTTGCTCGTCTATCGGGGCTATAAGTTAACATAACTACCTAACAAAAATAGAACAAACGAACCTGAAAACTTACTTCTCAACTATAATATTTCTCTAGCATTATTATTTAACCTATTGAAAACCCATTTTTAAGTCCAAGTTAATAACTTCATTTTTCCCAACCGAAGCATCTATATATTCTAAACTTTATATTTATTAAGAGAACTGGTAATTTTTTGGGGGAAAATTCAAAAGAAGATACGAAAGAAGCTAAGTAAGGAGTTACTGCCAACTACACCTTATGCAATAGCTAATAACTGCACTACGTTCCATTTAGATATTAAACTGTGCATTTCGTTGAATATATTGACGTTTCCACATGCTTTGTCTGTGTTGTGTGTGAGCTTCGTAAAGTTTCAGCGTCTGTTAAAAACTTCGTTTACTTGTAAAGAGACGAACGACCTTGCAATGTCAGCAGTAGTAGCAGCAGGATTAAAATAACAATAGTCGTATAACATGTATTTGTTTTTAACTACTATAAGCTCTCTTCAATACGATTATAAAATTAAAACAGGAACAAACAAAACAAACGTTAAAAGAATTTAAAAAAATATGAGTGACCCACCACTCATAGTGAGACAAATGCAAAGCTTTGATGACAATCTAGTTATGATACGGATGCATTATTTACTTCAATGTGTAATCAACAAAAATAAATTTTTTACAAGATAAACAGAGGGGACAAATTTTTAAAGAAAACATATTCTAAGTCATAGTAATGGAAACGACAAATAGAGTGATGTGTTGAGCAATACCTATAGTACATACAGATGTATATTATGAAAAAGATTTTACGATAACGATGGGATGAGCATGTAGTACATTTACATTACATTCTTTACATGATAATGTATATGATCATGAAAGTGTTTTTCGCGAAATTCATGCAGTGATACTGGCGATGGTGATTATGTCGGTAAAATAGTGCCAAAATTTAGCGATGATTAAGACGATGATACAAGGCACGTTGTAGACTAAAAATTAGACAAACATTTAGTTCATATGCATACATACATACAAAAGTATTTCGAAAACAATGCGTAGGTTTCATTTATATATAAGATTAATTTCTACGTAATGTAGAGTTACCAAAAACCAGTTAAACCAGAAATGCACCACATCGCTGAAATTTGCATTTTTGGTGTGATAACTTTGACAGCTATATCTCTCAAAACGACTATATCTCTATAAAGCATTCAGGATATTTATGCTCTTGCAACCTGTTGCCACAGAGTATTATAGTAATATATAAATGATCAGGATGATTAAAAACTTGAAGTCGGGTGACTGTCTGTCTGTTCGCAGTAGCAAAATGCCTATAGGCAAACAATTTTGAAAAAGTAGGTGTGGCCCCACCCTCTGATTACTTTAATGTACATATCTCGAACACCACTAAACACAACAACCAAATATACAAGGCGCGAATAATAAAAGAATTTCACCACCCACTTTTTGGTGAAATCACATATCTCAGGACCCGACCAACCGATTTCGACTAAATTTTGGTACGTACTACGCGTATAGAAAACTTATTTACTTGACAAGGTGCTTTCACGAAATTTGACACTGATCCAGACCCCAGACAGCGCTACAATCTTCAAACAATTTGTTCCGTAGAAACTGACCCATCAAACTCAAGTGCTTGTATTAGATTAATGTATGAGGAATGTACCGCGATCTTGGGTCTATCGCGCCCCCGAAAGTGCTTGTATGGAAAACTTTTTTATTTGAAAATGTAACCTCATAAAATTTCACATACATTATTGTCTAAGGCAACGGTACAAACTCGAAACAAATTGTATATTCATATATGTATGTAGATGCCATACACGCTGATCTATCAAAATCAATATATAAATCTTTCTATACCCATTTATGCTTTAAGAAATACAGCTGAGGATTTTACTTAATTATACTGAATTCGTGTAATCCTTAATGATAACAATTTCCTTTTCTTATCCTTACTATTTGGATGTATGTATGACTAATACAAAATGTATACACATATGATTTTGATGTTTTTATTTCATGTCTTAATGTATTTTTGCCAATTGTGCAGAACACAATAAAATTTTATTAAGACGCAACTTAAGATATCAATGAAGAAAATGATAACAAATAAAAACGCTAACGCTAAATGCTTCCGGTTAAAATTATTTGTATTAGATAAAAATTGTTACTTATTTACAAAAATGCACGTGTTTTCAAAACAATATTTTATAATTACCTGTTATATCAGGTCCACTAATTTCGGTGAAAATTTTATTGTACGATGGCCTTCTTGTGAGCTCTATTCGTCGCTGCGGTGAGTCCTCGTCAGTGAGGCTGTCTTCACTGTTAGTGTCGAGGTGTTGTGCATTTGGTTCGGGTTTGATTTTACATTGAAAATGTGGAGGGAGCTGTGGTAAAAATGATAGCAGAAACATTATTATTAATCGATTTTTTTATGTTGAAGAAAAATTTGTAATATAAAATATTAATTCACCTGTACACCACTGCCTGATGTTGTGTGTATTACCGTTGTACTAGGTGGCTTATTCACATATAATACCCCACCCTTGGGTACACCTATCGTCCCTGTCGTCGCCGACGTTACAGCATTTGTGGCGGCTGTTTGAATGACTGACGACTGATTGGCTGCCTGAATGACAGACTGCATTTGCTATGTTTATAGGGAATAAATGAATTAGGATCATACAAAAGGAACATGACAGATATTTGCATGGCGAAATATATAAAATATTATATATATTACCTGTAAACTGTGCACCGGTGCTGCTAAGGGGTATTGCACACTCGCTGCTGTGGTCAATACAGTAGCTCCACTACCGGCGGCTGATGTTGCTACACTATTGCCGGCCGTTGAGTTATTACTTTGGTGCGTTGAGGTAGTCGTCAAATTGTGACCTTCCTCAATATTGTTCGAGTTGCCGTTCTCCTCACCGATGCTGTCCATTTTTTTAATTTTCAACAGCACCGTCACGTCTTGCGACAACTGCTTCAGTTTGACAAATTTTTTCCTTATAAGAGCAACCCAGAAAGATGCAAAATCGTAGTCAATATGCTACTACGAAAAGCAAAATAATTTTTGGTTGCTACTGACTAATATCGACCTTTGGTGCTAATTAAAGTTTATTTGTTTTGGTTTGTTGTTAATATTCAAAGCTTAATAAGAGTTTTATGGTTTCACAAGCGGCAAGCCGATCGAAATATGTATATTTTGTTATTCCATTCAAAATAAGATTTGAGCTGAAAACATAACAAAAAAGAATTATTAGTTATATTTATATAGCACACGAAAGATTTTTTCATTGGGCATATGCACATACAAATATCAATGTATTTTCTTAAAATATTAATTAAATCGAAATTTTAATATCTGATCAAATTTGACTTGGACAAAAAAAAGAACAACACTGACTTATTTTAATACATATTTTTATTTTCACCTTCGAAGACGTATTTTTTTGTTTGCACTTGCTATGAGCTTTGACAGGGATGGCCTTTAGTGTCTTCAGCTAATTTTGGTTTATTCGGTTTCGGCCCATTTTTGGAGCGTATCATATTCATAAACTCACGTCTCATCACCAACAAATATGTATTTGATGAATATACTCGTATGTATAGCCCTTAGCCAAGTTGTCAAGAATTTCTTTTGCAAACCCTACTCGACATCGTTTTTGCATAAGATGCAGGTCTTTTGGTAGGGGCCTAGCATTGATAGGTTATATACCAAAAACATTAACCAAAATATATTGAGTCGATTTATAAGAGATGTTGAGATCCTCTGGTGTATTTCTGATGCCAATACGCCGGTTTTCAAGCACTTCCTATTTACCTAGAAATCCGTGAACCTCCGAAATTCAATCAACCAACTGAATTGCAATGCCTATGTAGGCAAGTGTTCACCAAAACATTACACCCTTTAAACAATGAAAAAACAGTCACAAAGTGTTTCATAAATAAAGATAATTTCATTAGCAATAATGGCAACATCATCAATATAAAAAAATATTTAAAGGGGGTAAAATTGACGATAACAGAATGACCACAGATGAATAAAACAAAAACGAAAACAAAACCGCTTGTCGTCTGCTGCCTTTATATGCGAAATTGATACTACAGGGGTACAATTATGTTCACATACCACTATATCGTATGAGTCACTGGCAGCAGCACGCCATATCTCCGATCAAAAGCTAGCAAGCAAATCATATCGTCACATTCACCAAAACGTCTAAGGCAGCGTCATCAACGGCAGACGCTTTGGGTGCGAGACAAACGTCTGCAACACGCTCAGCAGCAAAAGCGACCGAACGACTTCGAATATACATATGTACATATATATAAAAATATTCATATGCGTAGAGTCGATCGGGTTGCCAATTGGTCGGTGGCTATCAACGCCGGCAGTAATCACAGCAGAGAAGCAATGAACAGGCAGTTCAACGGCAGCGATGATGAATACTACTATTAAAAGTGTGTTTGTATGAATGAATATTCTCAATGTTTATACATATGTGCAAATGGTACTAATACGTATAACAAGAGCGCCAAACTTCATCACACCAAGTATTAAAAAATAACTAAATGCAACGAACCGAACTGGAAGTTGTATATTTTCTTACGCGATCGCGCACTAACGTTTAAATAAATCGATGTATATATATATATACATATGTATATTTAGGTATATTACGAGTACATGTGTATGTAATGCATATCTGTCCGTTTTGTTGATATCATTATGCTATATCACCACGGACACGTCATCAACATTTCGTTTATAACTTGCACATACATATGTATGTACATATTTATATAAAACTTTTGTATATACATACATACCATGTACATTTTGAACTCACAAATGCAAAATGAAATATAAAACGTCGCGTAGCCATTTAAGGTGTGTAAACATGTAGAATGTATATTTTATTGTTAAGAATGTTTATTCTTGATAATAAAAGGCTGCGAAGTCTGAAACCTAATTGTTGAGAGATGTCGTCACCAACCGAAATCGCAGTTACTTATCACGCTTTCCCTTGTCAAGAATAAAATGAAAAGAATTTTTACTGCTTTTCACAATTCATAGCACTATATAATTTTGACCACAAATGCAAATCATTTTAGGAAGTGGTAACATTTTAAGGTAGTGCATACATACATACATATGTATATGCTATTGAACAAGTTTATTATATCAAAATATATACAAATGTCCTGGGCGGAAATGGATTTTTTCATATACATACTTCCAAACCACTTATTTAATTAAAGTATTTTGAACTATTCCTTGTAAAAATAGTACGCAAAAACAGCTCTCCACGTACATACATATGTATATATGTATATGCATTTATTTGTAGTTGTACCTTATGTTTCATAGATATTCATATTTTGTATAATACTAATTTGTAAAAGAAAATATGTAAATATAGCTAAAGCCCCATTACTACTCAAGATTGACAGGCATTGAACGCGCCTTCATCTGGTATTTTCGCTATACGTGCCTTCCTCTATGATGTATTTTTATGAGCTGACGTCATTAATGTCAGCAAATAGTTAGGAGAAATCGTCAGACAAAGCATATGGATTATTGTGGTCATACTAAATCAACCAAAAAGTAATGAATTCCTTTACGTTGCCGGCGGTGGCTTTTACTACTTCTTATGTTCTGAAGTAAATATACTCTTGTTTATACTGGGTTCTTTCTAACAATATGCAAACTCTAAGTACATATGTATGTATGTATGTACGTAAATATTGATATATTTTACTACATATCGTAATTGCTAGTCACTCCTTTCGCGACAACGAATATAAGTTGTGTTATATGTTTGAATAGCTGTGCTTTTGCCCTATTATCATATTTTAACTCCAAAAATTTCGATGTCGCAATACAAAATTTGGCGCTATTTTTAAATAATTTGTATGTCTGTCGCGAATTTTCAAAACTTTGTAAATATACATATGTATATGCCAACCGTTGTAGGAGTGACGTAATTTTATGTTTTGTATTGAATGCTTTGTAATTGGCACACTACACAGCATATAACAAACCTTGAATATTAATATTTTAAATATCAGAATTCATACTATGTATTCTCAATAGAATACACACTGTAAATATAAAATATATTATACCACTAAATAAAGGTCTGTAACGATTCTATGATGACTTATAATTAAATATAATATAGTAACTATCCATGACGCACCTTGAATGATATTTAAAAAAAAGTTCTGTAAAATTGTGCATTATGTACATATCGGTCTCCTTCCTATATTTTGTATTATTTTATTGGCATGTGTTGCTGTTGTTTTTGTACCGGTTACCCTGCCCTATTTGGAGGGAAAGGTGAATAAGTTGTCAAGGCCATCGAACAGTTCCAGGAAAGGAAACTATTTGTTTCGAGGAGGTCGGACCTTTGTGACCCAGATGTTAAATGAGTTTTTTTTTACAAGGCTTGTTAAGAGGTTTTTAATAAAAAGCGGTAGTTTTTGTATATGCAGGATACATCTTGAGTATGTGAGATTAAAGGCAAAAAACAAATTGACTTGTTTCTTTGCATAGAGTTGTTTCACATTCCTTCATTCTTAATTAGCTATTAATACCCGATAAGTATTCATCAAGATATTTTTTAGAAGTCTTGTTAAATGATTATTTCCAAAAAAAATGTTATATCATATCTTTATGAAATATCACTACCTAAATTTTATAGTGAATTAATATACTTTAATTTTTTTTATTATTATCCTTATTGCAGTTTTGAAGGAGATATCCTTCGAAATTATCTGCTCTTCACCCCTTAAAATGGGGGAAAAGTCAAGGGCAAACAAATGTTTAGGTTCTCAAATGATTTTTATGTACATGCTAAGTATTCACCTACTCTGCAAGTATTAAAAATAATTTTTACTGTTCGCAGTTGTGGATAACAATGTCTAGTTTTAGTAGTTTTTAAAAACTCTGCAGAATTAAAACAAACCTTTAATATGGCATAATAACGTAATCTTAATTAATTGAAAATACCCTCTAATATAGAGCACAATAACACACTACATCAGCACCACAATTTATTATATTATACAATTTACAAAGCACATGTTGGCAGATGGATTTTATTCTATTTTTTTTTTATAATATCTTGAAAGTTAAACAATTCACGAAATATTTTGAGCTCGTCATCAACTTCTGCATTTTTGCAAAAACTATATAAAATTTTATTAACAAATCACAAAACGTAGTAAACTGCACAACCACTAAAACTTCATTATATACACATATAACTTAAGCTAATTAATCATTCAGACTAAAACATCAAAATTTGGATATTTGATAAAGAAAAAACACTAACAGCACTTGATAGAGCAAATAAATTTCAGCTGAAGAAAAAAAATCAGCAACAATCCAATAGCAACAGAAACTTTGAAACTACGTCGACAACTACGACAGCAACCACGAAACGAAACTTCTGATGACATCACTAAAAAATTACTTTATTGTTATTGGTGCTTGTGATGTGCCTGCTTTTTCTTGCTTTTGTTATCGTTGTTGTACAAATTACTCTGTGCCCACGAAATTGTAAACAAACTCTAAATTCTGCCATCATCTACCGTAGGCAAGAACGAATAAATCATATATAACGTGTTTGCACATTCCCGTTGACACTTTTGCTCTATTAGGTCGATGTCGTTCGGCGAAAAATGACGTTATAGGAGAGTATATAGTGGCTTTTTGTTTTTGTTTCGTTAATTTTACAAACGAGTGATTACCTAAAATTTTGCTTTAAATTTACTCGATAATAATTTGCGGTGCTGTTGCATTTCAACTGCACCAGACGCATTCCGGTTTCGAAAAGCTAAAAACGACTTTCCCAATAAACGATTTTCAGTTGAGCAATCTAATTGGAAAATTCACACCGTCAATTTAAAATCCAGCTCGAGAGTACTACACTATTTTCCATATTGTACACTTTTTTATGATATTCTTATTTGATTTGCATACGTGTTTGTTTCGCTCGCACTCATATGGTGTTCGCAAAATGAAAGAAATCGTGATATGTGAACGTATAAAGTTGGTTCAATAGTTGCTTACCACGTGGTGAGTTAGAAATATCAACTCAGTGTTGCATTTTGTAATGGAAATAATAGTTTTAATTTTTGAAATCGTAACCCTAATGTTTTTGGAACAACGTTCTTAAGTTGCTACATATGGACGTGATTTACTCTTCTGTGGTTCAAAACATACATTTTTTATAAGGTATTTTTAATTTTCATACATAGGAGCCCATTTAGAAAGACTTTGTTTTTTTCACATTGCGTTATCGCCTATTTCATTACAATAATTTTTTTTTAATTGTGCGTAATTAAAAATAACTATAACTGATACTTGATGAAAGAGAAAACTTGATAAAATGTAAGCAATTTTATTTTTGATATTTCATACAAAAATTTTTTGGTATTGTGTACATGCACCACTATATTTTCGAGTAGTGACGTCCTAATGCTAAACACAATAAGAGCGACATGACATGGCAGCACGACAGTGAACTGAAAATGGCGTTGTGAATCCTTCTACATGAACATTTGTGAGAAGGCAGCAACATAACAAAACAACACAGCTGTCCATTTTACACTTCAATGAAATTTTAATATTTGGTTCAGAGTGAAATTTTGTATGCAAAAAATAAGAAAATATGTAAATTTATTTGTTTTAAATTATTAATTGTTGTTACAAATGATATATATTAAAATAGAGTTAGTTTATGCTTTTATTTGTAAAATAACGCCAGGTTTGTTAGAGCTTTGAATAGTTTTACATTTTACATATTAGTGACATCACCACTCTACCTCATCTCTCTATCTTCGATTCTACTGTCGTTATAAAATATAAAAAATATATTGAAGTTAATAGCGAGAGCGACAACTGTCGGCCTGCAGTCGTGTAGCCGTGCAGCTGTCAAAATAACTGTGTCCATAAGAACGTGTGTATTTTAATATTTGACATGTGTCGCTTGCAGTCTGTCGTGCTCAATGTGTTCAGCACATAAATGAAAAAACTGACAGTACCAAACATATGTACATACATATATAAATTTAATTTTAATATTAAACTATGCTAAACTAACTACGAGTGTATTATCACTAATACACCCAAAGTTATTACAGCAAACCGTTACATGCCAATCATGTTATCCGCTTGCTTTATCTGATTACCTAGAGGTAAATATATGTATAAGGCTTGAAACCAAAATTATCATATCTTATCAAAATTAATGTTAACATACTCTTTTATCGAAACTTATGATGTTAACTCTTTTTCTTATTCTTGCGTCTTTCTAGTCTACTTGCAAAGCCAACTGTTGCAGGTGCTGTTTGCAAAGTATTCGCCTCATATTCACTTCGCGCGCATTTTTCCTTTCATTTATGTATGCATGTACATACATATGTATGTACATATATTTTCGCAGATAAATTGAGTATTCGTTATGATTAAGAGTAGAAGTTAAGCAAAAGACAAACTTAAAATGAATTAAGAGGAAAGAATGATTCAAATAGAGCATGTGTAAATAGATCTGCTTGGGACTACTGGGTGAAATACATATATATTTATATACATATGTACATATACGTACTTACATACATTGTATTTAAATTCATTCTATAAAAATGTCACTGTTGACATTACATCTTTTTACCTGTATTTGTTGTCAATGTCGGATTGGGAAACATACCCCATTGACTGAAGTCCAAATGCAATATACCCAATTCGAATAATGAGGTATTTGCTCTTGAAAAGAGATATAAACATTAAAGAAACTTTAACTTCGACTGCACCGCAGCTTTAAAACATTTCAGATGTACATACTTATGTAGTACATACATACAGATAACTGAAAACGAAACTGGCTAACGGTTTGCTCCAACGGAAGACATTTTGTTATCTCTTACGAGACACGTTGTTTGATATACATACATATGTATGTATTATGTACGTAAACAACTTTCAAGTCATATTAAATGTTATAATAAGGAGAATAATCTTTATCTTGATTTTGAAGTTATAGTGGTCTGATCTGAATAAGACCTTGATTTTAATCGGTCAGTTTGTATGACAGCTATATCCGTAGTGGCCCAACAAATAAACAACTTCTTATCCATCTTTTCGTTTTGGTAAACTTTATATATTCTGTTCAGAGTACAAAAATAAAAACAACGCAGGACTCTTTCTCTGCAAAATATACTACATACATATGTATCTTCTTCTTTACTGGCGTAGACACCGCTTACGCGATTAAGCAGAGTTAACAACTGCGCGCCAGTCGTTTCGTTTTTTTCGCTATGTGGTGCCAATTAGATATTTCGAGCGAAGCCAGGTCCTTCTCCACCTGGTCCTTCCAACGGAGTGGAGGTCTTCCTCTTCCTCTGCTTCTCCCGGAGGGTACTGTGTCAAATACTTTCAGAGCTGGAGTGTTTTCGTCCATCCGGACAACATGACCTGGCCAGCGTAGCCGCTGTCTTGGCTAAACAATGTCAATGTCGGCGTATATTTCATACATCGTTCCATCGAATGCGATATTCTCCGTGGCCAGCGCACAAAGGACCATAAATCTTTCGCAGAATCTTTCTCTCRAAAACTCGCAACGTCGACTCATCATTTGTTGTCACCGCCCATACCGCTGAACCATATTGCAGGACGGGAAAAATGAGTGACTTCTAGAGTTTGGTTTTTGTTCGTCCTGTAACAACTGTTGGCAACAGCTATTCTGCGTTGAATTTGCGGACTGACATTGTTGGTGGTGTTTATGCTGGTTCCAAGATAAACGAAATTATCTAGGACCTCAAAGTTATCACTGTTAACAGTTACGTGAGAGCCAAGTCGCGAATGCGACGACTGTTTGTTTGATTACAAAAGATATTTCGTCTTGCCCTGCCAGACCCATTTTTTCCTTGACCAGTCTGGAGAAAGCAGAATTCACGGTGCTGGTGTTGAGGCCGATGATATCAACATCATCTACATTTAAGAAAAATTCTTTATTATCTATTCGTGCCGATAATTGCTACTTCTTAAGCTCAGTACCATAAACTTCTTAAATGCCATGACTAATTCATACTTAATTGAAAATTAAATTGTTCACACGTGTTTAACTATAAATAACACAGTGTTGATGAGCACGCTCTAGATATATTATAGGTATGTACATGTGTACATAAATATATAGATTTGAACGCTTGGCATTTTCATAGGGGAAATACAATAAACCACCGACTAAACAATCTATTTGCACTCGTAACATGAACCTTCTATACATTGGAATATAAGTAATTGCATAAATACATGTATCATTGCGTATACTGCAACTGCATGTGATTACGAAAGCAACGACTACGTCAACGAAGACAACAGCAATGCTCGTAACAGTAGTGGCATGTCTAAAAGAGAAAGAGCACCAACAACTATGTGTATTTTAAAAGTTACATATATAAACGTCTATTCTTCATAAAATTAAAAAACAAATTCGGTTAATCAATCACAAAAGAAATCATACATACTTACATATGTATGTATATCTAAATACGAACATAAGCACTTGCATAGCCATCCACGAAGAAATGAGGAAATATTCAATGGAAAAAGGTAATTGTGTTTGCCTCTTTTACGCAATTTGCACTTGAAACGCAAACAACAACAAATAGTCAATAACACAGAGTCGGTAAAAGCAACGAATTGTTTTACAACAAAATCCACTCTTTTTTTCTTACCATAAGTACATATAATTTATTTTTATGCATGTATTGATTTTCAGGAATAAATTAGTTCAATACTAATAGACACAATAACAAAAACATACCACCGGCCAGACAACTAACACATTCGGAGACTAGGCCAAAGCTACACAAACTACAAAGCACTGATCTGGCTCATAAGATCACACTGACAACTGACGAAAACAAATTAATTGTGGAGATTAAACAATTCATTGAAAAGCTTCGTTTTTATTATGAAAATAAAACAAATATTCTAAACCTTAACTCTGATTGCGTCAAAATTTCTTCTGCTACTAGTGTTATTGGTTTAGAAAAAAGTGGCTGATTATAGCTAAGCTACCTTCGTTACGACGTCCACTTTGAATTAAGCACACACAACAAACAAATAATTTTGCAGTTGTGTGAGCGCTTTGGTTTTTTTTTTGTAACACATGATGTATTATTGTACATATTTACAAACATACATACTTGTGTTGATATTGCTATTTAAATATTTACATACATACATGTATGTATGATTGCATTTGTTCGAATTGTTTTTATCAAGTCTAACTGGCTCCTGAATTGACTGGGACTGGTGTGGCGGCTGTGCCTGGCCAGTACTAACAGTGCCGCGTATCTGCGTCCGCACTAATATTCGCATAATTTTTGCATACATTTATAAATACAAACATACATTTATAAATACATACATATATATGTATGTGTGTACATTAGTATGTACATATGTGGGTCTATGACACTCCAAATTTTAAAATGGCCAAACATCCATATGCTCAGATGTACATATGTACATACCTACGTTTCTTAGACGTAAACATACATCTTATACAATGTTTAAGTTTTTATAGGAAAAGTTAGTTTATCCTGTTTATTTATACAAAAATTTCCTATTTTGAATAATTTTTTTTACGATCAGCTGGAATCCCTCTACATACCTACTTATATGTACATACATATGTATGTATATTTTTGCCAATTCTTTATGACTTCAGTCTTACCGCTTTAATGCTTGCATTTTAGTTTTTATTTTGTCTAATTTTCAAGAGTTATTTTGGGAATTTTTAATCTTTCAAATGGTAATTTGTATGTATATTATATGTACATACAAGTATGCATGTACATATGTATGTATCTAAATACATTTGTATCTTGGCATTATTTTGTTTTTGCACCACTCACTCACACGAAATATGATTTCGTTTGGATTGTCGTCTTCGCCACTGTCACCGTCACCGATACTGTAG